CCCGAATCCATCCCCAGTTGAAGTTGTTGTGTACTGTGTTTATTAAATATGCGAAAAGCCGAGCTGGCGTTTTTTTTTTCATTTCACTCCCACAGCGCCACGCCGGCAAAACGGCCAAACCTCTCGGGATTAAACAAAGTGCACGCTCGTTCAGCGTGCGGATATTTATTAATATGCAAATAATCTGCCCCAGCATAAAATGCAACAGCGTGATAGTGATGTGTTGATTTGGGATTTTAACGAGAATCGACACTGACATGTTTTCGCCATGACTTTGATTCGAAAACTATAGGCAACCTTATATACATACCTAATACAATGAATTACACTATACACATGTATACGTATTGTTGGTTGCCTATAGTATGGTATTCTCTACGTTTGAGAGTGTATGGCAGCGTGTAAATAAAACAAGTGTTCATTAACGTTCGCCGCTCGTCTCCACAGCGATACACACGCTGTTTAACGACGTCTCGTTAACGAGATTTTTTCTGCTTGTGTTTCCTCGAGGGCGAGCATTTGCGTTTCTTGTTGTGGTGGTGGTCTATGCGGGATGAAATGTAAATATCTTAGCGGTGCGTTGCAATTTGCGCTGGGAAATGGCCAATTACGTTTGCATTTCGACAATAATGTCCGAGTGTAATTAAAAACGAACTCATTCAAGAGGGTTTAATTTTTCAAGATGAAATTTTACAACAAAAAGCACTCAAGGTAATTATTATTATTCTAATTGATACTAAAACGTTAAAAATTCATATTTTTAGGTTAGGATATCATTACACAAGATCAAAGCACAAAAGTGAGGTTAGTTTAGTTTAAAAGGTAAAACAAGCCGGTTTTATGTACCGGAAAACTTCCTGGATGCCAGTTTCACTTAAACAAGACCTCCTTTTCGGTCTTGTTTAAACGCATCCATGAACCAAACGGAAGCACCTCGAGTGTGTTCAACATGTGGAGGATGTGAATGTGCAAATATCCAGTTGTCGTTTCCGTCAGTCATTCCTATTGTACTTTCAGTACACTAAATTCTCTATATGCTAAAGTGCTAAAATACTTACCAAAGTCAATTAAATGTATTTTATTGTTTTACTCGTGATGCGTTTGTGTGACTGCGCATGCGTATAATAAAATGCTAAATGGTAAACGCAAATGATTCAATTTAAATTGATTTAATAATATAGGCACCGCGCGCCTCGTATTGCGGCAATATTGAGAAAATTGCTATTCGCATTCATAAATTGAGCATAATTTGAAACTTGTCGTAAAATGAACTCGACGCGAGCGAATAAAAAGCGTGCCTAACGTCCCGCTCGAATTTAATGATTCCCCGAATGGGAAACTATGACGACCAGTGAAATAAGTGATTTTACATTTCATTGATCATATAAAACAAAGCAGAAGATGAACATGAAGAAATATGATATTACTATTAATATAGGCAACCAAATATACACATTAAGAGTATACTAGACAGCTATACAGGATTGAAGAATATTGGTGTAAATGTAATTTGTATGATTATGTGTATAGAATATTCCTCCTCTCTCGTGTGATGGTACAGTGTACATCGGCAGCTCGCGCTTCGATTCCAATCAATCTCAATTATTGCCGCTGCCATTTCGACGGACGCCCAACTAGGTTAGGCTTTAATTGATAACATAATCAACGCATTGATTTTCGATATCACGTTAAGCGGAAACCTAATTGCGCGATTACGACGGTACTGCGCAACGCGAAATTAATTGCCAGCGCTTGCCGGGCTTACGCTGCGAGTGGATGTGTACTATATTACGGGATTGCAGATGGCGGGGCTTGATACAACAAACATTTAGACAATGTATTGTATTATTGTTTGAGGACGGTTAATCATACGGTGTACTAAGAGCCGAGTAGGTTTACAGTATGTTCATTGGTATGATACTTGTATGATGGTGTTTGGTGTTTGGGGTTGTGTGGGATTCAAGATTCAAGATGGACGCTTGTGCAACAAGCAATGAAAACTAATTAGGGAATTACAATCGACTAATATTATTACGGTTTTGATATAGGTATCAATTAAAATGTAATTCGTTTTTACTCTTTTGTTTTAGACATAGTATGTGTCAATTCTATCAATAAGATTCGCAATTTTCTTTTAATTAAATCACTACATAGTATAAAGTAAAGTCGCTTTTTTTTCCGGTCCCTTTGTTCGCTTAAATATTTGAAACTACGCAACGGATTTTGATGCCGTTTTTTTTAATAGATAGAGTGATTCAAGAGGAAGGTTTGTATGTATAATAACATCCATTAAATAGTGGAGAAGTACTGTTATTTTTGAGGTTTCTAATGTGATGTCGTAAATACAAAGTTTTCGATTATTCCCGTCTGCTCTTTGTGCGATGCTTCGTAGCTTCCCCCTCCAAGCATAGACGTGTGTATGTGTGTATGTGTGGGTTGAAGTTGACCGGTTGATGTTTTTGTTTGGAGAAGGAAAGTCGCTTTCTCTGTCTGTCTCTTTGTATGCTTAAATCATTGAAACTACGCAACGGATTTTGATGCGGTTTTTAACTTCCGTGCGAAGCCGGGGCAGGTCGCTAGTTAATTATATAAAGAATTGCTATTAATGCACTTCAGCGCGCCACTAAAACTATGATTCAATTTCAATTCCAACTTTTATCCTATAGAAAAAGGCTGTTTTTGGGTTTTCCCGGCAATTATTCGAATTTTTCTCGCCGTAAAAACCATCCTTGGACTTTAACAAACATTTTAAAAAAAGAATTGGCCAAATTGGTTTAGGCGTTGTTGAGTTATGCGCTTACCAACAGATTTTGCAATTCATTTTTATATTATAGAAGATTAATAATTTCAATAATGAATATTATCATCTATATTGAAGTTATTGTTGAAAATGCATTTGCAATATGCTGTTCTGTAACATTTGATTACATGCACAAATCGTAATTTCGCAGGTGTAACCGCACCTGCCACAAACAGATATTTATGTAAACCGAATCCAATTGACATTTATAATTACAATTTCTTGGATGTCATCGGCGCCTGTTGCCACCATATCGCAATTTCGCAATGCAAAAACGTCGAAACAATGAAGAGTGACATAATAATCTCATTTTTTTTATTCGGTTTTCTCTTTTTTTCAGCTGCTGGTGAACAGCTCCACCGTATTCCCACCGGAGGAGGATGGGTTCGAGCCGAACACGCTGGGGGATCCTAGCCATGTCACCATGATGTCAATATTATTAGTCGGTAAGTTTATTTTACACCTTTTAGTATTAAATTATAGAAAATATATTTGTAAATGGAATTAAATAATTAATTAATATGGAAAAACTTGAGAAACAAATTAATAATTAATTTTAGCAGACATGTTTTCATTAAAGGAATAAAAGTGAGCAAAAATTACGTCAAAAATTACAAGGTGAAGCTAAGAATTATCTTTAAAAATAGCTTCTTCTTCAAAAATTAATAATTTAAATATATACCAAGGAAAAAATAATTTTTTACAAAAGTTTAAAAAAAAATTTAAAAATCTAAGAATAACAAAAATTAATAAGTATAAAATCCATGCAAATACATAATTGTGATGATTAATTTTTTGCTAAATGAATGAGTATAAAATAGAATATTTTTAGGGTATAAGAGTAAATTGTTGCGTTAAACGCAGCGTATTCCCATTTTTAGGCCGACAAACATCTGTTATTTAATTATCATGGTCTTTTTGGGTTGTAAGCCGGCCGTATCGTGCGTCGCGACGTGCCAGAAGGCCGGTTTGCGGCTTTTAAGCTCGGGTAGCAGGATTAACGATGTTGGATGTTAGATGCTGGTCCTTTATTTCGCCGTATTTATAACGCTGGAAGCAAAGTCTAAATGTCAATGTTGATTGGAAAAACCAAATACAAGAAAAAAGTTTATATCTTTAAAAAACTGTGAAATAAACTTGATAATAAAAGAATATTCCGTTATTTTTTGAGTAGTTTTTCATAAAAAGACTAAAATTGAAACATTTTTGTCATTTTCCGGTTGAAAATGTTCATGTTTGTGTTTTGCGTTTTTGGAAATCCAATAATTTGATTGACATATTGGTTACAATTAGTAAACAATCTGCGGTATGAAATTTTAGCATTTTTTAGTTTTTTATTCATAAATTTTGCACAAAACAATGCAACAGGTTTTTATCCCTACTAATATTATAAATGCAAAAGTCCTGATGTTTGTTACACTTTCACGCAAAACTACTTAACCGATCATCATGGAAATTTGTACACATATTCTACACATATTCTTAGTGGTTCCGGAATGGTTATATTATCTTTATTATAAAATAAAGAAATTGTTTAACCAATAATACCTCTGCATCTGGCTATTTGACTACTTTAACGCCATCTAGCATTCCAACAATGAAGCTCAAACCTAAGTACTATAGTACCATCACACTGTATTATCACACTGTATTACCGACAGCTACGTCAACATCAAATTCAATTGACTACACTATGGAGACTGTACACTATATACTTCCATATACTTTCAGCCATTTTAAACCTCCCGCCATTCTACTTCATTGTTACTTCTTCTGTGACTACAGACGCGTACGGAAGCAACTTCATTATTTTAGATATTCGCGAGCGAAGCCGCGTGTTAGCTAGTAAATTTATAATTCTCAAATCATGTTTTACATTTTAGTCAAATTAGGGGAATATGTATAGATTTTATCATAAAAATGTGCAAAAAATCTAATTTTCTAACAAAATTTCTGAAATTTTGTCATATTTTTCATTATGCAACGTTTTTCATCTATGAAAGTGAAACTAGACCAATCATGTTATATTTAAATGTTAAAATATAACACTACACGCTGAACAATAGAAATAGACGAGAATAATTACATTTTTTTGATATTATCGTGATTTTGAATCAAATATTTTTCATTTCAAATTCTAACTATTCTATGAATAAATATTTCTAAAAAAAAACCTTCAGAAATAAAATTTTCGCAAAAAAACGCTCTATTCAAATATTCACATTCCACTCACATTTCTCTTCGTTTTATTCTAGATTTCTTTCTTTTTCCTTTTCTTAACATATTCTAAACTGAACTGTAGAAACTTGTCGACTATCGCATGGAATCCTCGATGCGTTTTACTCGTACTCTGCTCGAAGTGATTTATTCAAAACATCCGATTTCCCACAAAACCAACCGATACACTCTCCACTCTCGGGCAGCAATTCTTCGCCATCTTCGCCGCGTGTGTCTCGAGCACGTCCTTCCGAAAATAAACACACATTTTCGCGATTTACAACATCGTAAAACGCTTCTCATCTCGGATCATAGAGCAAACACACTTGTTACACGATTCCACGATTTCCGCCGCCATTGCCGGCATACATTTTGAATACACACCCAGTCTGCGCCGTGTACACAGGCGACGTTTGTTCACATCTCGATTGAAAATTTACGACTCACGTGCTCTGGACGCCAGACCAAATAAAGAATGTATTACCCTCAACTGCAATACGAGCGAAATAAAAATAAAAAACATTTCAAACTCGTATAACATTTAAAGCTTAATATAAAAATTCCTTCGCTTTGATCCGCCGCATTTTCTCATACATATTTAATTAAATTTTTCATTAAATTAAATTAAATACGAAACAAATACAAACTTTTTTTCGTTTCAACCAATCTTACCAACAATTTTGTTTCAATTTTGCAGGAATATTTCTATCCGTGTTAATCTTCCTGTCGGTGGCCGGTAACATCCTCGTATGTGTCGCCATTTACACAGACCGAGGCCTGCGCCGCATCGGCAATTTATTCTTAGCCTCGCTGGCGATCGCCGACCTGTTCGTCGCGTCGCTGGTGATGACGTTCGCCGGCGTTAACGATCTGCTAGGATACTGGATATTCGGCGCTGAGTTTTGCGACACGTGGGTCGCCTTCGATGTGATGTGCTCGACAGCATCAATACTCAACTTGTGTGCGATCTCATTGGATCGATATATTCACATTAAGGATCCTTTAAGGTAAATATTATTCTGTTTTTGAATTCGCCCAGTATAAGTACATGCATGCTGAAATGTAGGTTATGTATGAATAGGAAAGATAATATTATTTGATTTCTGCATTGAATTCATGGGAAAAATTGCATTTTGTTGATATAGTATCAATGGAGGATGATTTTTAGATGTTATGACTTGTATTTTTATGATTTTTAAGGTTATGATAGTTATTCTGGTGATAGAAATGTAAATTTCTAGTTTTTTGTTTGTTTATGACGCTTTTACTCAAAAACTATTTAAGTAATTTTGATAAATTTTGATATGAAGGTAGTTTTGATCAAGGACAAGCTAATAGAAAACTTTTTGTTATAAAAATGTTACTTGAAAGCTCTAAAATTAGGAAAAAAGGTTATTTTTGACATATTACTAGTATTTTCGTTACCTAAATCAACCCCAGAGGGCGCTGATATGCAATACTTGCATTTCCTATTTTTAAAAATAAAATTTCCAATCTTTTTGGATGACTTGGCAGAAAATATATCTGAAAAACAAATAAAATATTTATTAACTATTACTTTAGCACCCTATATATTTACCTTTCTTGTTAATTCCAAAATTGTAAAATGATGAATGTGTAAATTCCGCAACTCGCCACTTGACAACGAATTGACTATGAATAATAACCGCCCATCGGATGTGTTTACCTCAAATATGATGAACGCGCCGAATGCAGAATATAATTTCATTCCAATTGTGGATTAAACTTGGCCGTGATAACTTTGCGGTGTGGACTTGTTGAAGCGTCGAACCGCGCGAGCGCACAATGACGCGCTTCACATTAATCCCCACGAATTCAGCGTGCGGTGCTGCGTTTTGCGAAATTGACACCAATTAGCCGGCAAACTTCTAATTACTTTCGACAATTCAATTTACAAATGATGAATTCGTTAGTATATGAATTCCTCGCTTGAAGCTAATCAAAATCACACACAATCCAAGCATTCGTGTGTTCGTCCTGCAGGCGTAATCCGCTCTCATTGTAAAGTTTGCTTCTATTGTTGAACAGGTACGGTAGATGGGTGACGAGACGCGTCGCCGTTGGCTCCATTGCGACGATCTGGCTGGCATCGGCGCTGATTTCGTTCGTGCCGATTTCGCTCGGCTTGCATCGACCGCCACAACCGACCGTTTACCACGCCGGCGGGCAGAACTATCCCACTTGCGCCCTGGACTTGACGCCGACCTACGCTGTCGTCTCCAGTTGCATCTCCTTCTATGTACCTTGCATCGTCATGTTAGGTAAGCACACATACACAAACACTCAACTAAAACTATACTTACTTAATTAATAAGTTTTAATTGTCAGCACACAATATTTGCTCGAGTTTCACAAATAATGTCGAATCACTCTTAGGTTATACTAAACTGTATATTCAATTTTGGTGTGTATTGGGTTGCCTATCGTTAAGGTTATGTGTGTTTAGGAATCTACTGCCGGTTGTACTGCTACGCACAGAAGCACGTGAAGAATATTCGTGCAATCACGCGCCCTATTGAAATCCCACCCGGAACCAGCCGAAGGAAAACGATGAAATTAAAGAAAGCGAATAAAGCGCTGCATATTCATCTGCACAGTCATCACAGCTCGCCGTATCACGTGAGCGATCACAAGGCGGCCATTACTGTCGGTATAATCATGGGCGTGTTTCTTATTTGCTGGGTGCCGTTCTTTTGCATTAACATTGTCGCTGCTTTCTGCAAAACATGCATCCCAGACATAACCTTCAAGATACTCACGTGGCTCGGCTATTCAAACTCAGCATTCAATCCAATCATCTACTCCATCTTCAACACTGAATTTCGTGAGGCGTTCAAACGCATTTTAACTACGCATTATCCCGACTGGTGTCGCTGCGGGTATCAGTCTGTGTCACTGAAGACCAACGACAAGTTCATCACCGACTACGGCACGAAAACCGTCATTGTCAATACGCGTCGCAATGGCTCCTTTGGCGAATTCTCCAGTGAACATCTGAGTGCTGAATCCGTACGGCAGACGCGCGTGAATTCAGCGGAAAAGGACCTCAACGAGGACGTCAGCGCTATTTGACAGGATGGCGGCGACTTTAACGACACCATGGTTTAAATAGAAAACTGCAAAACTTTGGCGTGAGGTATTTAGAAACAAACAAATTTTAAACGGGCTGTGCGTTAAACACGTTAACATAAGTTTTTAATCTCCATCTGCAGCTGGAACTGCGTTTTAAACTATAGAGTTTATTGTGTCGCGTGGTTTTTTGAATGGTGTGCATGACTTATTGCTCAACTTTAAGCTCTCTCATAAATTCATCGTGCGCAAGCTGTAGAAGTGCGCAGTAAGGACAATTTATTGCGACTTGATATATACGTTTATAGCTTGTTCATTGACGATATGATATGTTATATTTTATTCTCTTTATCATGTTACTACTTTTATTGCGAATGTTAAGTTTGATGTTTTATTCAAAGATAATTTGTTTAGAAATTTTATCTTTTGACATAAACATGGTTAGAATATTTAAAATAATGTTGAAAAGAGAAAATTTAAATTAATTTTTATTTTTTTTTGAAAATTTTGTTTTTGAACATTTTAATTTAATTTTCTCTTTAAATTTACACAAAAGAGTTAATTACTTTTGTATTTTTTGTAGAATATTCCACATTTTATTTAATTTTACACTGTTTTCAATTAAAAACGAAATCAATTTCACGCAATCATCTAATGACAAAATGACAATTGCGAAGCTTAAACAAACAGCAATTTAAATTATTATTTTGTGTTCACATTCGCAGTGAGAGCGCTCGACGCGCTTCAATTGCCCGTTAACTCTGCAACAATATTCATTCATTAATTATACAGCGAATTATACCTATATACAGTAGATGCAGTCATTATCGGACGGGGATGTCGGGGTATAAATCACTCGATCATGGAACGAATGCAAATTGTTTATCGAAATTAAATTTCCGTTTGTGCACGGCGTTATTGCGCTGTTACATCGTTTTTGTCATAGTCATTCGCTTCATTATACAAATGGGAATAATTTCACACTATCATAACAAAAGGAAATGTTATATCACTGTTATTAACAGGAACTTTAATAACTAGCTGTCCGGGTTAATTAATCACTTGATTTTATTAAGTTTTGTTACAAAATATTAAAAAAACATGTGCACATGCTCGAAATTTGTGTCATTTACCTACTAACTGAACTGTCAAAAAATTTGACAGAATTTGAACATGTCAAATGACATAACCTGATTATTAATCTTTTTAATTTTTTTTCTTAAACTTTTTCAATTTTTTGTTATTTTAAGCAAAGATAAATCAAATTTAGACTTTATTTTATAAAATTTTATGCCTAATACAGCATATCATAACATATCAACACACCACAGTCACTAACCTCAAAATTTTACTTCATATTTTATTAATTTGTATAAAATAATCGCAAATGTAAATAACGACCATTGTAAATATTTACTCATATACATAAAAAATGTTAGCTCTATTTGATGGAACGACTAAGAAAAAGAATCACAGGGTTTACTTACGAAAACATAAATTAATATGAAACCAAATAACGATGATGTCAATGTAAATATAAACTAAATCATAAAACACTAATCAAATAGCTGCAAACGATGTATTGATTGGCATACTTACTAGCAATTAAGAACAATCAAATGTTACATATCTGAAAAGTCTATAATCCAATGAAACCCGTACTTTAAGTTCAACGCAGACCTAGATGAAGATGAACAATGTTTAAACTAATGTAAATGTTAATTTTTTTAACTTATTGACCGTGTGTGAGCGTGAATGCAGCCACTATTTGTATTTGTATATAAATGTTCATTGTTTAAGAGATATAGCAAAATATTTGACATGTTTTTTCACTTGTTGAGCGTTAAGTTTCTAAGTTTTAACATCATTTCGTATTTATTGTGTACATATACTTCAGATTAGAGTCTATTCTTTATAAATATGTGTGATAACTAACCAATGTGTATATTAACATGAAATTACTTAAAAGAAATAACAACTTAAAGGTACGTGTGTTGAGGTGCGATGGATAGAAAATGTACTAAAATTATAAAATTATGAATGTTTTATACCCTCCAAAGCAAAGACAAACAAAAACAAATTATGATATAATATTATAAGACAGAAAACTATTGAATGTCAAAGCGTAGATGTAAATATGATACAATGATGATGCAATAAAGAAAAACATGTAAATTTTATTCGTTTTTTAGTTATTTGTGTGTTTGGTATACACAAGAGTGGGAGGTTATTTGGTGTATATTTGGTTGCCTATACAAATCGTGTTGTATTTTCTAGAAGTTGTCACTCCGGGTCATGTTTTATCTTTTTTAGCGTAAAATACAATAAAAACAACATAAAAATAGTGTAAAGTTGTATACAACGTTTAATAATAGTGGTAAGTTTAATGTTCTATATAATTTATCGCTGTAATTTAATAATTTGATTGATTTTAGTTGAAAAATACGTTTCTCTAACATAACCTCAATGTTTCATACAACCGATGCGTGAGTTGGTAAAAAAGGTGAGTTTTTCCTTTGTATCTTTTTATTTTATTTAATGGAAACACAATAAAATGGATTTATTTTCCATTCTACATCGCTAATATCTCATTCACGCTCTTGATAACATCTTAAAATGCGCCGACAAGAAAAGCGATTTAAACGATTTCTCGCCTATCGCGCCTCATCTCGCCGCTAAATTCTTCAAAGTCGTAATTTTCGCTCTCCTCACCCCCTGCACAGTTACACGCAGTTACATCTCCTTCACCAGCTTCGCCTCGTTGATTTCCGTCGTCACCTTCGGCTTTTTTTCCTTGTTACCCTTGACTTTCGTGCGTTTCGCCGGCGGGATTTCGGCGTCGACGACGATGCGCTTGAAGAGCACGCCGGAATCAGACGCAAGTTGTCGCGATTGAACGCTGGCATCGCGCCAGGACAATTTCGTTACGTGCGCCCAGCGCCGCGCGCCGCTCTCGATATTAATTCGATTTAATAAATTCGCTGCGATGTTCGGCACGATGGGTTGCAGGACGATGCCGCACACGCGCAGCGTCTCGAGTGCTACGTGCAGCACGGCGTTGAGCTCGCGGCGTCGCTCCGTTGACTTTTTCAATTCCCACGGCTTCAGCGTCTCGAAGAACAGATTGGCGCAATGAAGAGTCGCTATTGTCGCGTCCACAACTTTATAGAAATTGTGTTCGGTGTAATGCTTCTCAGCCAATTCTAAACATCAACACCAAAATACAAAATAAAAAAAATAAAATTTTTACTTTTAAAATTATTTGATTTGTAATGTAGTGTAGCGTGACACTTGACACTTTACATAAGAAAACTAGATTCGGAGAGATAAATTTGAAATCGATTGCGTACCTGGCAGCTGAGCGACAGACGCCATGAGTCGCTGCGTCACGTCCAAGGCGGAAATTATCCTGAGGGCTTCAGGCTCGAGGGCCGGAAACACTTGCTCCGGATTGAGCGCCACGCCGCAGCACCGACTCAATAGGTTGCCGAGCGTGTCCGCCAATTCGGAATTTAATATTCGCAGCGCCTTCGTTTCACTGTAATCTGAACAAACAGCATTCAATTAACATAAATTGGATTACAATTAAATACGTATAAGATATTAGTATAGGTGGCGCTGGTAACACGTAAATAACCTATAAATAAAGGTTAAGTGTTAGTTACTACACTTATAACTCATGAACGGCTGGATAGATTTTGATGATTTAAGATTTTTTGGACTCGTCTGCATCCCGAATAAGAGAATAACTATTAAAATATTAAAATTGTTAGTAAAAAGTGTTAAATACGAGATTAAAATTTGAATAGAGATTTTATCATAGTTATAGTTGAATAATTGAATCCCAGATGACGTTAAAGTGGATTTTACCATTTTTCATTTCTTTAAAAGAAAATCATGCATCTTATTGATGAAATCGACAGATAAAACTTTTTTTTAACCAAAAACTACTTTTAAATAAAATATAAAAATCATACTTCCGTCACTGTGAGCTACACCTTCACGTAGCAGAAAGTACCGAAATCCATCCGGCGTGTAAGTCGTGCTCCGGTCGATTGGGCAGACGACGTTGCCCTTCGACTTGGACATCTTCTCACCGTCGACGGTCCAATGCGAATGGCAGAGTATCGAACGCGGCGGCTCCACATCCGCTGCCATTAGAAACGCAGGCCAGTAAATCCCGTGAAATCTGCGCGAAATAAAAATATAAAATATACACTTCCAAAGCCGATCTTTTTCTCTCCCAGCTCGTCCAGAAAATAAAACCAAGAAAAAAATTGAAACTAAATTTCATATAAATGTAAATGATATCAATTTGCGATGCAGGCCAAAGCCGAAACTTGAGCGCGCTTACTACAATACATGCAATAAAATTGTAAA